CCTCGCGCACCTCCCGCTGCTGTCTCCTCCAGCCGTCACTCGTGCAGCTCACGCCGCCTTGGCGCGCGCGACCCTTACATAAGCGTCCTCCACGGTGGCGCCGGCGCACGCCCACCTGCTCCGACCCGCCGAGTGAAGAGGAAAGTGCGCAGCGCCACGGGTACTCACCTCCTCGCCGCCGCCGCCAGTCGTCGCCACCGCCTCTACCGACGCTACCTCTACTGACAGGGAACAGCTGCGGTCTCCGCGCAACCAAACTTGCTGCAGTCCCGGCCCCGCCTTAAGACTTCCTATTGGTTCAGTCAGCCCAACCCCTCCTGTTATTGGACAATAGCCCCCGTCACTCACCACTCCCCCGCTCAGGACTCCTCCCCACGCCGGTCTGCCCATCACGTTTAAGCCTTGGCGCCTCACGTCAGCCCCGCCCCTCGCGTTCCCGGCGGGCCCCTGGATTGGTGGCAAGGCCAGAAGAGCCCGCCCCTGGCGCACCACCGCCTCCTCCCTTGTCTACAGAGCCCCACGTGGGCCGCAGGGCCGCAGCCACTGCCCGCAATAGGCGGAAGTGGCCGGGCTCCGATATGCTATGATTGGTTGTCGGCGGGGGTGGGGACGTGCGATTCATTCACCCGAGTAGCACGTGTCTCCCAAAGCCGCAAGCATAACAGATCGCCCCTGGCCTCAAGGATCCGGGCTGCACAAAAATACTTGCAAATGGATGAAGAAGAGGTTGGAGGAAAAGGGTTTGCGAAGGGCAGGATGAAGGAGATGGTGCTTGTGCCACACGGTTTACGTGATTGTGTCTTTTAACAGCTGGGGGGAAGGGGGTGATGGGCAGGAGTCTGCCTCCATGTGACCTTGGACAAAGCAGCCTTACCTCTCTGAGCCTCAGTTTCCTACTCTACAAGTTGAGGCCACTCGGGACCTAGAGGGTTTCGAAAGCTTGGTTGAATGGAAAGTTTCATAAGCTGGGCTCTGTGCCAACCAGGGGATAGGGGAGTGACCAAAACAAACCAAAATCTCTGCCTTCCAATGAGAGACGACAGATGATAAACAAAATATACTGCACATCAGATGGTAATAAGGACATGGAGAAAAAAATAACCTGCTTCCAGACAGTTGGGAGGATCAAAGACTATGAGAACATCTTGTTAACTAAAAATTTCTTATTGAGCATGGGGAGATATTGCAACTCCATGCTCTTCTCTGACTATGTTGTGTCTGCTGTTTGTCTCTCCAACTCCTTGTCCTTCCTTCCACCTATCTGGCTGAACTCCAACCTTGGTCAGTCCAACATAGCTATTTTAGTAGCAGAAAAAGGATTAAAATCCCAATTCTCCAGATTCACATATTCATTTGATTAACAAACACCTCTTGCGCACCTGCTATGGGCCTGCTGCTATGCCCGGACACAGTGGTGAAGAACACACAGCTCCTACCATCATGCCATAGAGCTCATATTCTGTTAGATGTTCAAGTCCGAGGATTCTTCTACCTCACAACTTTAAGCAGGCAAGAGTTAAAGCTGTGTGACCTTGGGCAGGTCCCCTCCCTCTCTTGGCCAAATTTCCTCATAAAAGAACTTGGATTTTATAGACATTAAGTCTGTTATTTACTTGTCCCTATTAGTCTTCTAGCGAGTGCCTACATGGTGACTTAAACACTTCCTGCCTGCGTTTTATCTCCTCTGCTGTGTACTGGTATGACATGGGTCCCTGTGTCCCTCAGAACTGCTCGAGAACTGGCCATGCCACAAGGGCTATGACGTGTTGGGTCAGTCCTGGCTGGTCCCTGTGAACTGGGTCTGGAGCAGTGGACAGGTGGCTGGCTCCACACAGGTTCAGGTGGCTCCCACGTCAACACCACCAGGTGGGGATCTGAACAAAGAAGCTAACTTCTTTGAATAAGGAAGTATTTTAAAAAGTTAGCTCAGGCACACAAATTATCTAGTTCATGTTAAATTAGGAACCAAGACACCTCTCCATCCAGGCTCTCCCCTACCTCTAGGCTGAGTTCCCCAGGAGGACAAAGTCGAAAGGGGTATTCCATCCCAGACAGAGGAACCTGCCTGGGCAAAAGCCTGGGGGTGGAGAGGTCTCACATGGCTAGAAAAAGCACTTCTCAGTGTGGGCTTCTGTACCACTAGTGACAGAATCTCTTTGGTCCGGGTGCTAGTGAGAAGCACAGGTTCCTGAGCGCTTGGTTCTTATGCATAGGAACTACCGACTCAGAGATCTTAGAATCACCAGCCAAATGTACTACTCGAGTCCATTTCTGAAGAATGGGATCCCTTGCATTGCATTGCTCACTTTAGAAGCTCTTCAAATGGTTCTAATGTGGGTCCATATTGAGACCCTTTGAGAGGCCTAGAGAAGTTAGTATCTAGATTTCCCTCTGGGGCTCTTTAAAAACAAAACAAATTCCTAGACTCCCAACTCCTATCAATTCTAATTCAGTAAGTCTGGGGTGGGGCCCAGGAATCTTTTTATCTATCTATCTATCTATCTATCTATCTATCTATCTATCTATCTATCTATCATAAGTCCCAACAAATTCTTGAGATCTTGGAAAACTTGGCTGAGTTCCTAGGAGGATGCAGGAGAAGATGAGGCTGGATAGATAGGCTGAGACCAGCCTATGGAGAGCTGGCCAAGAGTCTAGCTCTGAACTAGTTCCCCTAAATTATACTGTATTAGAAGAGCTACTCAGGCAAAGAGATAGAACTATCAGTTTGAACATACACAAACAACTTAATTCTAGTAGTTTTAACCATTAGATTTATAGTTCTGTGTGATCAACCTGTAGGGAATGTGAAGACCCAGGCCCCACCCACGGTGGGTGGAACACACATTTGTTGAGGACTGTTTGCTGGCCTGACTCGGCCGGGCTGGATTCAAGCCACACTACTCACTGTGTGTCCTTTGGCAAGTTGCTTCACTTCTCTGAGCTTCTGTTCAATCATCTGAAAAATGGGGCTAAGCTCCTGAGTGACATGAGGGCGAAATGCAATCATAGAGGTAAGGCACCTAGAGCAGAGGGCACACCCCACCCCTATCGACTCCCAAATTTAGTCAATTCCTCTTCCTGGCTCTGGAAGCCCCAGAGAGTGGGCTTCAGTCTGTCTTTCCAGATTCTTCCCCTACCCAAGGGCAACCCCGTGTGTTCCCAGTCTCTAGTTACCCACAGGATCCTACCCTCAGTCTACCATACCTGTTCTTCCTGCCCTTGAGGCTGATCTCCAACACCGCTCTCTCCAGGGAGGCTACCCGGATTCTCCCACCCCCAAGCCAGATGTGGTTTCCCATTCTCTGCTGTGCACCCTCAGCACCGATGTCTGTTTTAAGGCAACTTCCTTTATGTAAGTGAGAATTCCTCCTTTTCTGGGATGGAGAGTCTACTCAGCTCCCCTGGGCCTCACTCCTAGGCATCATCCAAACAAGGTCTTCACATGAAGCATGTAGATGTGGATTAATTTCAATGACTCACTAATAAGAAGGTATATCTAGGCAGCCTGCCCCAGTTTGCAGCCTCCCATAGATCTAAGGGTCACTACAGCCTTAAATGGCACCAGCCATATGTCTCAGAACCACCTTAGGAAAGGGATACTGTGTGTTTCATTAATTTTAAGGCACACATTTATTTTTCTCACATTTTAACCCCTCTAAAGTGACACTGTGTCTTCCAATGAATGGGCAGTGGGTATTCTTTCTTAACTGTGTATAAAATAATGCTGCCTTTCCATCTTGACCATCTTAGAATTTATGTATTACCCCCATTTTATAGTTGAGAAACTGTAGGCACATGAAGTTAAGCCACTCGCTCAAGGCACACGGCTATCGTGTGAGATTGTAAGTCTTTCGACTCGGGCAGTATGATGGGTTTGGAACGCAGGTCTCATAGGCGAGCGGCCTCCACGATGACCCCCACCAGTCCCGCCTCCAGGTGTTCATGCCCTCATGGGATCCCCTCTGTTGAATGCCAGCTGGACCTGGTGACTCGCCTTGAAGGAACGGAATGTGGCAAAAGCGATGGGAGGTCACTTCTGAGATTAAGTTTCCTAGAGACTCTGGCCCCTGCCTGCCCGCCACCTCCCGCCCTCTAACTCGCTGGCTCTAAGTGAAGCCAGCTGCCACGCTATGAGCTGCTCTTGGGAGGGGCTCACGTGGCAACAGTCAACAACCAAAAAGAATCCGGGGCCCTCAGTGCAACAACCTCCAAGGAACCAAGTCCTGCCAACAACCGCTGGAGTGACCTTGGAGGCAGATCCACCCGCAGCTGGACTTTGAGATAACTGAAGTCTCCTCCCTGGAGCCTGCAAGCAACCCTGAGCCAGAGGCCAGCTAAGTCATGCCTGGATTTCTGACCCTTGGAAACTGTGAGGTCGGATGTGAGTGTTGCTTTAAGCCACTAAATGGTGGAGTGATTTGTTGTACAGCAATAGATAATAGTCTCCATTATTTAAGACTAAGTATCTATTGTCATGTAATGGGGAAACAAACATGAAAAATACATTGTCCTAGCCTTTAAGGGACACCCAGCGTGTGATCGCTGCTACTGTGAGTATTGGGGGAACTGGAGAGGGAGCTGCCTCTCTAACTCGAGCTGAGGGGTCCGGCAGGCTTCCAGGAGAGGCTTCACGGAGCAGGGTCTGGAAAGGTGAGTAAAAGCTTGCCAGGTGAGGCAGGCAGGCAGGCAGTGGGAAGGGAAGCAAGAGAACACATTTTCTTCCCTCCCCGGATCTGGGAAATTGTCGTAAAATTACACACTTGGCAAGAGGGTATTTGGCAGTTACATGCTTGACGCAAGAGCTAGTGATTCACCCCAAGGCGTCTCAGAAGTGTGTGAGTCAGCAGGCTCTTCCTGGCTCAGACCTTGGTGAGAGCCGGGATTTGAGTCGACTCTGCTGGAGTGAGCGTGTTGAAGGTCGTGTAATGGTTTTATTGCTTTTTAACTAGGGTCAGGGGTGGCCTGTGGCTTGGCCTTTAGAGGTGTCAGGGTTAGAGTGAAGAGGCACGGGTACGGATCACAGTCTACCTTTGGGACAGGCTGGGGCAGACAGCCGTGCTGGCCCTGCCTTAGCTCCTCCGGCTAGGAACTGAGCCCAGCGGATATTAAGAACCACTTCACCCATGGAAGGACTGGGAACTAAGAGGAAAGAGCAAGGCCAGGTCCAGAGAGAAGTCTGGGATGGGCCAAGAGTCATAGCAGGCACTTCCCCCACCCCAGATAGGGGCGCCTTGTGCAGCAGCCCAAACACAGAGGAGGCAGGATACCTGGCTTCCGGTCCTGCTTCTGCCACGGACACGGGCAGGAGAACGGAGTGACTGAAACGTGGGCTCTGAAGCCAGGCTGCCCCGGGCGGGAGTCCCAGTCCTGCCACTTACTGGGCACGCTCTCTGGCCAGGCGCTTACTTTCCTGGTCTACAACAGAAGGATAACAGTGCCCACCTTATAGGACTACCATGAGATTGAAATGAAATACATGGAGGAAGCAGTAAAAATGCTCAGAACACAGTGGTTAAAACAGAAAGATGTGTGAGGTCTGTTTCAGCCATCAAATTCTATGGTTCTGAGGACCTGCTGGCCGAGCCCAAGGACCTTAGGGGAAAGGGCTGCTGCTGGTAGTCTCACTTTTTGAGGCCCCATTATTCATGATATCATTTTATTTTCACAACGACCCATTCTACAGATGACAAGACTGACTGAGAGGAGAAGAGATTTGCCTGAGACAATAAATACCACCAACTCACTTTTTGAGCGCCAGCTATGCACCAAGCCCTGTGCTGGCAAAGCGTTATCTTGTCTAATCTTCTGGTCCAACCGTGGGGCGATGGTATAATGGCCACCATAAGGAGCAGGTATCTTCAGATCAAAAGATAAAATAGGCAACTCCATAGAATATAAGACTTTATTAGATGGTAATTTACTTACAAGAAGATCGAGCTAGAGCAGAAAGACGGCCCAGCAGTTTTGCATAAATTATTCTCCACTAAAGACTCTTCTTACTGTACCGTTTTTATGATACAATTCAGGTGCTATCGATTGACAAAACAAAAGGACAAAGAATGTAGCAGCGCCAGGGGCTTTACTTACCTCCTGGTAGTCAATATTGTCACCAGTTTGATAGTCATCCTGGCCATTACTAACAAAAGTGTTTAAGGTTACTTTTTAAGGACGACAGATCATCATTAACTAGAAGGCTTTGATATGCTTGCTGGACAGTGAGGTTGGTCAAAGGTCACAGCATGAAAGGACATAAAGAAGGAGATGGTTTTAGTTCAAATCTACATCTATACCCCCTCACAACAATTACCTGAGTTTTTTGTTCCTGTTACAGAAGAGGAAATGGAGAGAATGTGCCCAAGGTCGCACAGCTGCAGTGAGGAAGCCACAGTTTACCCAGAGGCAGTTCATCCTCGGAACCTGAGCTTTTACCCCTGTTCTGTGCTGGAAAATTAGGGGTTAGGCCTGGAAAAAATCCAAGTCTCTTGACTCCCAGCCTAGAGCTGTCCTGTTTCTTTTTTAAAATTTTCTAATCATAGTAAAATATACCAATACATAAAATTTACCATCTTAGCCATTTTTATGTACAATTTGGCAATGTTACATGCGTTCACATTGCTGTGAAACCAATCTCTAGAACTTTTTCATCTTGCAAAACTGAGGCTCTATAATGATTAAAAAACTCCCCATTCCCCACGGCCCCTGGCAACCTCCATGCTACTTTCTGTCTCTGTGAATTTGATTATTTTAGGTTGGAGCTATCCTGTTTCTCAAAGTTCACCTGTTTTGCTGTTGAGCCATCTGTTCTCAGTGTCGACAGAATGAATTGGACAGCCAGGGCTGCAGGAGTTCCAGGGAGGCCAAGGCGGGGTGATCAGGGAAGGCTGCCTGGAGGAGGCGGCAGGTGAGGGAGGGATGAGTTCTGCCTCTTTTGCTCTAGAAGGTGGAGAGATGGTGGTAAGGGTGACTCAGGGATGCTTGGCCCATGTGGCCTGCCCTTTGATTTATGGTGGCCACCTCAGCGCCAACCTTTGTCCCCAAGTGAGTTCCTGTCAGATGAGTAGGAGGTGCCAAGCCATCCCAAAGGCCAGTGACTTGCCAAAGGCCTGGAGAAGTCCTGCGCCTGCCACCTCTAGAACCATGGGGACAGTGCTGCACAGCCAGTCCTTGCGTGGACCACGGTCCTCCTATGGCAAGCTCCAGGAGCCCTGCGGGAAGCCCCTGGAGGGCCGACTGCGCCGGGCACTGAGCCTTAGACAGGGGCGTGAGAAGGCCAGGGCCTCGGATAGAGGCCCGGAAGGGCTGGACTCCCCCAGTCAGGAGCAGTGGCTGGGGGGCCTGGGGGACACGGAGCAGCTGGTCCAAGCTCAGCAAGAAGGAAGCCGGCGGTGGCTGAGGCAATATCAACAGGTTTGTTTAATGGATGGATGGATGGATGGATGGATGGATGGATGGATGGATGGATGGTTGGATGGATGATGGGGGGATGGAGGATGGGGGGAGGGGGGGGGGGGGGGAGTAC